CCAATTACATAATATACTACATTTAAATTATAATATAAAATATTGTAGTTTAAGCCTTTTAAGAAAAGTTGGCAAGGGCAGATTAAACTTCAAATGTGATGTTCACTGGTTCGGTATTTTGAAAATTTGTTCACCCTTTGGTCTTCTTATTAACTCATCCAACAATCATACACCGGAACCCTTTCCTGTTGCCAAGTTTACCGTCCCGTCAAAGGATTAATCTAATTATTTTGGCAAATAGAGAGCAATCCTTTCGGGGAGTTGCTCGCCCAAAACCGAACTCAACCCTAAACCCTTTGGATTCGCTACAGGAAATCGCAGGTTTGTTATGGGGGAGTTTCCTTGCTCTGCACTAATATGACCAGAGAAGTCAACTGCCCTCAGGATCAATCTAATTATTTTGCCAAATAAAGTGCAACCCTTTGGCGGACTAACCCTTTTTGAATTCGCCACACTCGAAATCGGCCGAGGAAAACTGGACAAGGCCACACACACACGCGGAATGTGCAAATACTTTTCGAAGGATACTCGGCCCAAGTTCACTAATCCTTGGGCTACTCCTTTTGTTCGCGCGATCTTCCAGGTACGATGGTCGTGCGTGGACGAGGGAATATATCTGAAGATATTCCTCGTTTTGGAAGGAGTAAAAGTGCGTCGCGCCCACCGCAATGCGAAAGACAATGGCCCCGAAGCCAAAGTCCAGTTCAGGGTAACGTTTAGGGTTAGGGTTCCTGGTCCTGGTCCTGGAACCCGGTTTTACGATCCCTATTCCTGCAGTACAAGCCCAAGATGGTATCGGCTACCTGGGAACCTACCCCTGTACACACCCCTTTAATTACGCTAGTAAAGGGTACACCCCTTTTTCCCGAGATCGAGAGAGTTTTGGTTTTGGTCGTGACAACTTATGGCCACGATGTCCTTGGGTTTACGATTCGCGGAGTCGCGGGCGTGACGCGTTTATGGTGTGTTTAGATACTTTTCGCAAGCAATTGAAATCGCAACAATGCCGCATGCACCCGTCTTTTTCGGCAGCCTTGACTTCTGCACATCCCTTCGAGATGCCAATCCCAATACCATATACCATATAGATATTTACCTAATTATCATGCGAATCCCAAGGACTGCCGTGGAACAATTTTAGCGACTTTTTGGCGTTTTGCTTGGGAAATCGAGGTTGCGTTGTTGGTTGTTGTTGCCCACTTCGCTGGAAGAATTTCCAATAACTGAAATTGTTTTTTCCTTTACCTCATCGTAGTTACTACGGCTTGGTCTGTTTTTGCCATGAAATTGCAAATTGCTTTTGAACGAAGCCTTGAATTGAGGCTTTTGGCCCTCTGCCATCTTAACTTGAGGCCTGAGAAAATGGTGCTGCATTTTAACCCTCCCATCTGGGGGAAATTATAAAAAATTGTTTCTACAGATGGTTTTTATTATGGTACAGGAAAATGGCGTATTAAAATCTGTAAAATCTAAAATATTTAATTCTAGGGACCATGTAGGATCATGTAAATAAAAAACAAAGTTAATTTATTTTTATTTTTAGTTTAATATAAGAACACTAACTTCAAATATTTTTTTACTATTATGACTTCCTCGAATACAAGGATCTCAGATAACTTCTTTCAGTAGCCTAAATAAGTTCGATTCGCAGGAAAAAATAAAAAGATTTCCCTACAAGTGAAGGTCATCGAATCGAGAGTCCCAAAAAATGGGCCTCTGCATTTTCCAAATTATTTCCGCTGCTAACAAAAAGTGATTTTGGTGGAAAAGCGAAACCTCTGGCATATGGCCCACTAAAAAGTCATTTAACAATTATTGCCCATGACTCTGCCACCTCGACTCTGACATTTCTGCTCTAAAAAATCTAATTTTATTCGTGGAAACACGAAAAAATACCATAAAATATGCATGGCTGTGGCCCAAAAAAAATGAGACAATGAAAGCAAACCAAAAAACAAGAAGAACATTGCTAAAAACCGGGTCAGAGTCCGGAGATCTGAGAGTCAAGCCAACCAAAGGTCTTCTGCGAAGTGTCTTTTGGGCGTTTTTATGATGCCAAAGAAGCGACTAAGTAAGTTGTCATTTTCGGTTTATGATGATCTTGTGATTTTTTGCTCTCGTTGTTATATTTTTTACGCTCTACATTTTTGTATTTCGATATTTTTTCCACTGAGCGAGGACCTCCGGAAACAATAGCAGGCTACTAATGTCGAGCAGGCCGAGAGTTTTATAGTTTTTTATGGCTTTATGGCCGAGCCAATGACTTCTTTATTGGTGCAGGTCCTTGGCCCGGAATTTCGGGTCTTCCCATTCCCATTTTTTTTATGGCCATATCTTCCTTCGGTTTCCGTTTCCGTGACTTGGGAGGATCTCTTGCGTTTTCTGCATGCAAATACTGGACACTAACGACATGTGTTTCCCCCGGGAGAGGAGAGGGCTAATCCTTTTGGCCATGTGTTGACAAGAGCAACAACAATAATAGTAACAATATTAGTATCAACAACAAATGGATATAGCAGGAAGTCAGCCAGTGCGATGCCATATATCATGTGCTGGGAAATATTCGGTCTGGGTCTTTCATGTGTCTCCACTCCATCCACTCCGTGTTTATCTATTTATTTATTTATTTGCCTTTGTACACTTATGACATGATGTTAATTACCGCTCGCGACTCCAAACCAAAGGCAGGGAATTGAAAGGGTAGGCGGAGTCAGTCCCAGTCTCAGTCACTTTGAAATGGAAAAGTTCGCCGACTGTTTGTCAACTGTCAACAGCGGCGACAATTGCCAAACGCCGAGGTTAAAGCTGTCAGGCACTGACAAACCGAAAACCGACGGCACATCCGATGTTTAAACGGATCGAAAATCAAATCCGGCCAACACAGAATGCCAGACACACGCACTCTGGGAAAATCCTGCAGGACCCGTACCTATTGATTCAGCCTGTTTGATCTTTTGCTCGCCACCGCTTGGGAAAGTTTATACTAAATATGTTTTGTAAATATTGCTTAATTTAATCACCCAAAGTCAATCCTCCAAAGGACCGCTTGTGACGGAGTGTGTCGCAATGGGCTTAGTCTCGAGGTCCATGGGATCCTGCGGAGTCCGGGTAAAACCAATCAATGGGAATGTTTCTTGTTTTGCCAAGTTAAAGGATTAGCAGCAAATCCATGGCGGAAATGCTTCACCGGCAAAGTCGACAAGTCAAAGTCATGGGAATGTACGGGTTTCGGAAGCAGGATTCATTATCCTTGTCTTGTAAGAATTGGGAAATATTTTTTAATAAGCGGAAAAACCAGCAGGAAATTTCGATTAATTCGGAAGCAAAATAACAACATGTGAAATGCTTAAATTCTTTAAATGAGAAAAATCTTTTAGTCAGTGGAATCTCTTTAAAAGAACACGATGATAATGAATATTATTTATTTTTAAATTATACTGAAAAGATATTCTAGGTAAACCAGTGAATGATTTGAAATTCATCTACTTAGTTAATGATAGTTTTCCGCGTGCATGTGATAATTTTTTGCAAATTAGTTGTTGGCAATTAAAATAGTATTTCTCGTTTTTCTCGAATTTCCATTTAGTTTACTTCAATTCAGTTTAGAAAACTGTTCATAAGGTGCACCTGCCTGCCTCGATTCAATTACAGCTTATTAAATAATTATCCAAGTGAGTAGCATGAAGCATTTCGAATGAGAAACTCATTAAAGATGATTTGACAGACGCGAGCCGCATTCACCTGGTGACTGGTGAAAGTTCACTGCGGTACAATATTATAACGAGGTACCTTTTACAATAAATTTAATGAAAGAAACTTTAATGAAAGAAAAAATAGGGATAATAATTAAATCAATAAATTTTTCTAAAATATTTAACCAATTAGTTTTAATAACCTTAAAATGATAATATAATCAAAAACTCCACAAGGTTGTATATATTACTTTGAATTTAATCAAACTATTTTATAGGCTGCAGCTGAATTAGAAGAAAATAAAATTTCAAAATAAAACAAATATTTTCCCCAACTAAATGATTATTAAACCTTTTTAAATAAATGTAGCTACAATTCCAAACCATATTTTCAATTACCCGTAAATTACATTCGCATATACCAAGCCAATATTATGATAATTTTCTGTAAAATATGTCCATCATATCCTGCCGGAAACCCTTTTAAAAACCAATCAATTTTCGCTACAAACGGCCATTTCCACCCACTCAAAAGTTTTATCGCCATCACTTTGAAGCGGCTAATTGAATTCCAGATTAAAGTGTAAACCAAAGTGGGGGGAATGAGGAAAAAAAACTGATTTGTATTGCAAATTAAAATTTAAGTGAAAACGAATCAGGCACACAAACAGGGACAATAGATTACAATATCCTGGGGCGCAGACAGCGTGACATTAAAAAGGCACGAGGACGAGAGAGCTGGCGGGGAATGGCAGTGGATGTGGAAGTGTCGAGGTGGAGGGCAAAAGGACGCGCCAGGACTCAGGACCTTCGTGCAGCTGCTTCTGATGGCACATGCGCCTGGGAGGGATGCGTTTCGGGATGCGGGCTGGGATGGACTTTAGCGATGGCTGCTGATGCCAGGCAGCAGCTACAGCAGCAGCGGCAGCAACAGCAGCAGCAACTACGGCAGCAACATCGGCAGCAGCAGCAGCAACACCAACAATATACCACGCTTGCGACCGTCAGGCCAACGGTTTCCGCTTGTTTACTGCTCGAACGGAAAAAGCCAAAAAAGATACAGAGCCACATCCATGAGATACAGATACTGAATGCCGAACGCCGAACACTGAGCCAGGCAAGGGCCAATCCGAGAGCAGCAGGTAGGCGTGGACCTATCTACCATTTCCAAATAACTTCAACCCCGCCACAGGCAGCTGCCGTTGGTCGGGCCGCTCGTCACCCTCGTCGCCCTCCTCCGCACTTCTCGGCCGGTTCAAAAACGGGTCGCCACTCCGGCAGTTGCAGTCAGTTATTAACGAGCGCTACTCCCAACAGCAACATCGCTCAGGCGGCAGCAGCAGCAGCAACAGCACAGCAGCAACACCACACAAGTCACTCAAAAGGCGGAACAGAGACGGGGATACGATACACATACACACACTCCACTCGTTTCGTTTCACTTCGATTTTCAACCGTTTGAGTCGGAGAGCGGCGAACGGCCAACGAATTCAGTTTGTGTCGAGACGTTGTCGGTGGCACGTCGCATCTGAAAGAACGCTCAGTCAGCCAGCTACACAAAAAAAAAAAGAAAACAAAGCAGAGATACAGATACAAGTGCTAAACCAAAGTGAACCGTGCAGTTCCCAAAAATACAACATAAATCTAAAAGCCAAATAAATCAACAAAAAGACAGTATAATGTCTTCCACATCGGCCTCGCCCATCAGCAACATAACCGTGGATGACGAGCTCAACTTGAGCAGAGAACAAGGTGGGTTCAAGTTCAAAACGAGTTAGGATAGAGATTTACCGACGGCTAAATGGATAACTAGCTTGGATTGAAAAATGAACTATATAATAAAATAAAATTAAATTATTTTTACCATTTAAAGTCAGTCAGATTTAATAGTTTAATTTCCTAATAAAAATCTACCTTCAATTTTAACTAACGAAATCCATTTCTTCTCTACTCCTTTTTAGACTTTGCCGAGGAGGACTTCATAGTGATCAAGGAGGAGCGCGAGACAAGTCTCTCCCCCATGCTGACTCCCCCGCACACGCCCACCGAGGAGCCTCTGAGGAGAGTGCATCCGGCGATAAGCGAAGAGGCCGTGGCCACTCAACTGCACATGCGACACATGGCCCACTACCAGCAGCAGCAGCAACACCAGCAACAGCAGCAGCAGCAACATCGCTTGTGGCTGCAGATGCAACAGCAGCAGCAGCATCCGGCACCGCAGCAATATCCAGTTTATCCCGGAGCCACCGCCGATCCCGTGGCCGTGCATCAGCAGTTGATGAACCACTGGATCCGCAATGCAGCCATCTACCAGCAGCAGCAGCAACAACAGCAGCAGCATCAGCATCCGCACCACCACCACCACCATGGACATCCGCACCACCCGCACCCACATCCGCATCATGTGCGTCCCTATCCCGCTGGCCTCCACAGTCTGCATGCCGCGGTTGTGGGTCGTCACTTCGGAGCCATGCCCACCCTGAAGCTCGGCGGTGCCGGTGGTGCCAGTGGTGGACCTACTGGAGCAGCGACCGGCAGCAGCCGGCCCAAGAAGCAGTTCATCTGCAAGTACTGCAATCGGCAGTTCACCAAGTCCTACAACCTCCTCATCCACGAGCGAACCCACACGGACGAAAGGCCCTACTCCTGCGACATCTGCGGCAAGGCCTTCCGGCGACAGGACCATCTGAGGGATCACCGGTACATCCACTCCAAGGACAAGCCCTTCAAGTGCGGCGATTGCGGCAAGGGCTTCTGCCAATCTCGCACCCTTGCCGTCCACAAGGTCACCCACCTGGAGGAGGGTCCGCACAAGTGCCCCATCTGCCAGCGCAGCTTCAACCAGCGGGCCAACCTGAAGAGTCACCTCCAGAGTCACAGCGAGCAGAGCACCAAGGAAGTGGTTACCTCACCAGTCGCCTCCCATTCCGTGCCAAGCCAGGCATTGAGCTCGCCTCAACCTGAGAACTTGGTACAGCATCTGCCCGTCCTGGATCTGTCCTCCTCCTCATCGACGAGCTCCGAGAAGCCCAAGCGAACACTGGGCTTCACCATCGATGAGATCATGAGCAGATAGATCCAAGGGACAGCTAAGCCAAACCAACATCTGGTTTCTGTTGAGAGATTCAAGAAGAGATTCAGATTCAGCTGGACAGCCGCCAGGCATGGGAAGTGCCTGGAATGGAAAGTCAACCGAGTCCAGCTCGCATTCTGGCCAAAGGAAAATCCTCGCCAGCAATTCGCAACCGCAATCGCAACCCAGTGAGCAGAAGTAGAGTCATCCTCCTTGCAATCGGTTCTATATAACCCGGAAATATATAGTAAGCCCACATTGCATTAAACAAATGCCAAAGTCAAATAGCAGAGGAAAACTGATGAAAAATCCAATGAAAAGTATTGCTAGCACAAGCCTCCTACAAAACAATTCCAAAACACACACACAATTGTAAACTATATATTTAAATAAATACCATATAATTGTAATTATAACCTAACTATATGTTATTGTACCTTATAGTCGTAGTAGCCCATTCAGTTTTTAATGCTTATGGAGTAAAAGTACACCAAATGTTATGTTACAATAGTTCAATCAAACAACCTCAAACCCGCTTTGGTTAATGAAAGACTGTTTTAATTATTATATTTAAATAATACTTGAATAAATCAATCGATCGATTGTATAATGTTAAACCCAGACGAGTGTCATGATTACTTACTGTTTAGACCTAACAACTTAATTGTCGCTATAGCAAATGTGACTAAGCACAAAGATACAACGATCTCATTATCGTCTATACCTGTAGTCTGTATATAGATATGCCTACAAAATATTCGCATTGATATGGAGCTATCACAAAAAATACTTAAATATAAACGGAAAGTAAATTACAAAAAAAAATTTTATAATGCTTTTTATTATCGCGGGGATTTTGGGTTTTCAGGTAAGTGATAATGGTATTTTTGCCTTGATTTGTCATGGAAAAGATAAAAATGATTAAATAACTCTTGGGGTATAAAAAGCAAAAATTCTTAAAAAAGTGATAAGTGATTTTTATTTTGGCGTTAGCGAAACATCTTTCGAACACTTTGATAGTCAAAAATAAATTAATTAAGTAATTTTTCCGTAAAATATTGTATATGCTTTTTTGTTCAAATCTTAAATAGATTGTTTGATTTTGAACTACTTTTAATCACTATAAACCTCTTCTTTATCTGAAGACTAACTCCCACACCTTCCTGATTTTGACTGTATCTCATGCTGCGAACATAACTCATTTGACTTGATTCGTAAGACCATATAAGTTGAACTATCAAACAGCAGCTGTCAAAATTTATTAACCATTGGAATATAACTCAGTTTTTATGCAGATCCCCGATTTGTGCATTTTTAAGCAGCTCTATTAATTTTCAGGTTGCCGATTAAGTAAGCAGAAGTCTCGCCACCAAAAAAATATTCAAACTGTCGCATAAGTTAATTTATGAAATCGAATTGAATTGAATTTGATGCCAGTTTTGCTATGGTTTTGTCTTGACTTGGTTTCGATTTCGGTGCCGCTATGGTTATTGTTTAACTTTAAGGTGTGGTCCAAATATTTATGGCCTGTGTTTCAGTTTTCAGTTTTAGTTTAGTTTTCATTGTGGCTTCTTTTGAAATTCGGGAACGTGCCAAATGTCTTGCAAAAGGTAAGGTAGATTTTCTTTAATGGGGGTTTTCATTTCCAGTTCTTTCTATTGGCAACTCCATTTCTTCTAGCACGCTTCTTACTGGGAACTGTCAATTTTAGATTGTGATCTTTGTCTCAAAATCGACCATAGGATTGTCTTTAATTGAGGCCTGAGGTCGTTTTGGTCACCCCTGGAGAACCCGAGCCCGCATGAAGGGTCTGGGTCTGGGTCTACATCTGCCTCATTTGCTGCTCGATTTCCATTTTCATTTCCATTACCATCTTCCATTTACCATTTTCTCCACCTTGATGACATACTCTGAAGCCTTATGGCCATGTACAATTGATGTTGGCCCTCTCATTGTCATGGCTTTGATTTTGCTTTGTCTTCGTGGCCGAAAAGTGCAAACGTATTCGCCAATTGATGTCTACATAGAGGCCCTTTTTTGCGCAGCATCTATTCTTGACAAGTATCCTGGGCGCGCCCCCTTGGACATATCCTGCTGACTTTGGCCAAACCCTAACCTTAGTCTTATCTCTGCAACTTGGTCGGGTGGTCAACCGTAGGACTTGTGTTCCGTGTTTTGCAACACTTCGCCGCAGGCAGTCCTGGGGTCCCGAAAATTTAGGTGTCCGGGCATTTCGACACACCTTGTCCATAATTGCACTGCGTACAACCAAAATATTTTGTGAAAGTCCCAGCGGGACGTCGAGTTATCCCGACCAGATTGATATGTGTCCGCATGGGGTTGTGTGTCCTTTTTCTCTCTTTTTTGGCTACAATTAAACGCATCGGTTCCGCAACTAGGGTGGCATGTAGCTCGTATCCTGTGGATGTCCTGTGGATGCCCAGCCATTGTAAATTCTAGTGGCAGGACGTGCTGGAAAGTCGCCTGCCAAAAGTGAGCCATTTACTGCCACAGGGGCAGTCTCCTCCTATTTTTCTGCTCCTACCGAGCATGCAATTTTAATGAGCTGCCCGGGGGAAAAGGATCGGGATCGGGATCAGGATCGGGACATTGACAGCCCTTTGTCCAGGACACGTTCGCACTTGGCCTTGTTGGATGGATGGGACCACCCAGTAACCCAGAAATAAAGTTGTGAGCTGGTAAACTGCTGAGGTGTTCAATTAAAACGTTGCAAATCAATTTGGTATCGAATCGAATCGAGGACACGGTTAAAATGGCCGTTGACAGAAACACTCATAGATGATGATGACAGCATTACCGCAGTAACATAACTTGAGAAACCATACAAGAGTTGTCAAGTGAGCCAAGCCCAAAAATTATATATAGTTATGTGTGTGTATAGGAAAAATAGAAAACGCAGACAAAACCAAACTTGTCTCTCGTAATTGTACATTGTCTAGATTGTCAGCTTTGGAAGTGGTTTTTGATATGCCGACATCGCAACGCCTTTTGGCCCATAGCCATAGACATCGTATTGCCACTTCACCATATACTGCGATTTGAATGCTTTTAGGGAATAATATGGAGGATGTGAATAGGATAGGCCTTTTTCTAGAAGTTAAGTTTGTATTTTATTTAAGATAAAAGTCATAGTAACTCAACGGGCATAATCGATTTCCTATTCCCTTTTCATTTAAAGAACTCTAACCTTTAAAAAATATCCATAAAAAATATAATATATTCTTATAATAAAGATAAATCATAGCTTACAAAAATGTCACTTGTATTTATCAGAGACTCTCTCCACTTCAGATAGCACATATTAATAGAGAATACCCACAGCTAATGTTGAAAAAATATAAATTCAATAAATGTTGATATCAAGGGGAACATTAATCATTTCCCTTTCTAATGTTTTTGAAATTATAATTGAATAATAAATATTAAGAGTTAAAAGAAAAAACATTACTCATTCGCTTCTTATCAAAATATTTCATGAGTACTTGCATGAAAAGTACTTCTACAAAACCACTTCATAGGACACAAATATTCCACATCATACTCCAATCAGCCCTCTTCAAAGGCCCCTATTATTCTAACCCCCTTTCAGCCATGTCTCTGCCATATAAGAAAAACACTTGATAGTTGCAGATAGTTCTGTTGACTGTGGCGCACAGTAGTCGCATGTGTCACAATGTCGCAGCCTAATTGCACTACACGCGTAGTTACTTAGGGGAAAAAACTCGGCTGACAAGCCTACTTCTACTCCGTAGACGGGCGACGACACTAAAATTGGTGGGGAGATACCCAGACACTCGACTAAGAACCAACGACGAGCACTCGAGTAGTCGAGTTCAATTTAGAACACACTGGGTGTTCGTTTTTATGGTCGTCGCCACTATCGATCGGCTATTTTGACACTTTTGTTTTGCCTAAGAAGGTGTTTTAAATATAACTTACTTAGGCCTGAACAAATCTTAACTGACCATAACAAAGGAAACTGTCTGGGCTATGGCACTGAGAGAAAATTTAATGAGGTACTCATTAGAAACCAACTGATACTTCAAGATTTTATAATCGATCTTCATGAAATATCCTGAATCAAAAATGGGTGTTGTACTTTAAAAATTAGCTTGTGTTCAATTCTAGAATTATTATTGGAATGCTGTTACATAATATCAGTTTAAACTAAGTAAATCATAATCCTTTAGTCAAACCTTTTAGATTTTAAAGAATTATACAGGTTTTTTTATTTAATTTACTTTTTTCCCAGTGTGTTGTCTCTTACAATTTAATCGCCAGAGGCAGCGGCTATTTCTCTGCTCCGAGTTTTCCTCCTTATCGACCTGGCTCAATCTCCTTCAGCCAGTGCATTAATTGACACCTAGAACTGAAAAACGAAACCGGAGAACCCTTGAGGCGGAGAAGAACCCCGGAGACAGGGGACTGTGCTGTCAATTAGGTTGCTGAATTTATCGCCGGGCACAAATCAGTTTGGGAAATTTGTTAGCCCCGAAAAAAAAGTTAGCCGGGCTAAGAGAGCGATCAATTTTATAGACAGACAGCTCACGGGCAGGGAGGTCCCTGGAAGTCCATTCGATAGAGAGATCGGGCTCCTCCACCTCCTCCCAATGGGAACTTAATTGAATTACCAGGGAAAAAACCACAGATAAAAGTGGAAACACCTCGGTATCAAGTTAGTTAGTGGACCATCGCGACCATCTTCCTTGGTCTTGACAACTCTTTTGTTTGTTATGGCTGCGTTTTCACTTGTTGTCCGCTGTCTGTTTTATTTTTTATTATTTCATTCTCCGTTCTTTGACATTTTAATGCGCCCGCTGGCTTTGTGTGATGTGAGACCTCTAAAGGTGGCCACACAAACAGGCCAATGGTGTGATGGCCATAATCCGATATAAATAAGACATTATAAGAGGCTCCCCATCCAAGCAGGATCTTCTGCGGGCCCTGGGAATGTATGCATTCCCATTCCCATTTCGGGATTACAAGGAATCGACGACATGTGGCGCTCAAAGCTCTTATTTATTTGAGCCGGGAAAATGACTAAACCGAATCTCGGCGATTGACTCATGGACCAGTGCTGCCATTTTGTCCTCTTTCCGGACAGATCTGTCCTTTTTTTAACGACTTTATCCGGAAAAAAATTCAAACATCCCCTATCCGGAAATCTGTCCTTTTTTCAAAGATAAGGTTTTGAGTGTTCTTTTTGCTAGTCGAAAGTGTATAAACCTGCTTTTATATGCTAAAACGCCGTTTTAACCATTATTCTTACAGTTCGGCACTTTTAAAAGATTTTCTTTTTACAAATTATCAAAGAGATGTAATGCAGTCGATGGACTTTCTTTATAGTAAGATTTTTTCTGTAGCAAAAAAAAGAGGAAAACACTTTAAAAAGTTCTCAATTTTTACTCTCAGCCTTTTTGTCAGAAAAAAATTTCATATTTGAACGACTCTTATTCGGGTTTGACGCAGACATTGAATTTTTTTGTATTACCAATATAGTTACTTGAAATGCTTTTATTATTTTAATAATTTTAGATTATTACGTATACGCACAAAAATTGATGGTAAAATGATCAAACGAAGAAGGTTGTGAGTC